CCCCTCCCCCCGCCACCTCCCTACGCGGAGACACAGACAGTCACTGACGAGACAGATACACACACGCACACGCACACACACGCGCACACATACACACACACACACACACACATACACACACACACACACACACCCGCACTGCTGCAGCTGATGTTATACATGAATTATCCCACGCGCATTGTCTTGTCTCGTCGGCAGGCCCCGCTGGCCCGTGAGGTTGCAGCCCGCTCGCCCTGCTGCTCCAGCTTCTCCAGCAGCTTCTCCAGGCGGCTCCAGGGTGAAGACAGGGTGGCTCCAGGACCACAATGGCAGCGGGCTGCGCTGCGCCCCGGGACAATGAGGTTTGCAGAGCGCCCGCCCCGCCCCGCCTCGCCCCGCTCTGTCGAGCTCCTCTTTATCTTATCTCCCGCCACCTTACACCTTTTTTCCCCTCACGCTTCTTTTGTTTTCACCGCCACCTTTTTAAGGGATACACGTTTGACAAACCTTTTTTCCTTTTTTTTAACTTTGGCGTGTTATTCATCCGCGAGAGCGAGGACCTCTACGTATTTGATAACGTGCGGTTTTTTGTGTCGCTCTTATTCTCTTTCAGGTAATATCTCGTGGCTTACCCGACAGCTGCTGCAGGCCGCAGCGGTTGAGCAGCGCGCGCTTCAGGCCCTCGACGCTGTCCACGTCCTCGGAGATGGTGAGCGGGCCCAGCGGCAGCGGCGCGGCCCGGGCCAGCTGCACGGGCGGCAGCGGCGCCGACATGGCCTGCATGGCCTCGCCCTGCGCCTCGCCCGCCGGGGCCTCCCCCACGACCGCCTCACACACGGCCTCGCCCTCCTCCGACTCGTCACCTAGGGGCACACCAGGAAAAGAGAGGTCAGTGCAGCACTCACTAAAATACTCGACTTTTTCGAAAGTTGTAGGAGTCCGAATACACCAGCCGATCACGAACATCAAACACGCGTTAACACGGGACGGGCCGCGAAAGGAGCTACGGCTACGATACGATGAGTTTGGGCTGAAATGTCAATAATTCGGTTACGTTACCACGATGAGGGCGAAAACTTGGAGAACAGCACAACGGCCTAAACGCACCAGACCAGCAAGAACTTAAGAAATAATTCAAGGTGATTTAAAAAAAAGACAAACACACCGTATTTTACAAGCCAACGGCCAGTTGATTTTCGCTAAGAAAACTGACAAAGGGAGTTAGGACAGTCTTTTGGGATAGCGCGACGCATCCGTGCAACACTGGCGAATCTGTTTAGGACGGACGAACAAGGGCGAATCTGAGAAGGGCGGACGAACAAAGGCGGATCTGTTTAGGACGGACGAACAAAGGCGAATGTGCTTTTTCAGAATTCCCGCAGACCTATCTTTGAACGCTTCATACTCTTCGTTCAGAATTCCCGCAGACCTATCTTTGAACGCTTCATACTCTTCGATGTGACGTTGGATCGCTTCAGTTGAGGTCGTATTCTATTGAAGGCTCAATAACGGGTGCAATGATGCTTCGTTCATAGTGATCTGACGTCAAATCGAGGAGTGAGAGACTTCTAAAGATAGGGGTGCAGAAATTCTGAAAAAGCACATTCGCCTTTGTTCGTCCGTCCTAAACAGATTCGCCAGTGTTGCACGGATGCGTCGAGCGAAACAGATACAGCAAAACAGTTAGAATATTGTTGCACGGACGCATCAGGAGTAGGCAGTTCCGTTAGGCATCCGTACGCGTGCGTTGCCTGCCTCCCAGGCGCTCCGCTGAGCGCTCAGCGCCTCCGTAGTAGGCAGTCCCGTTAAGCTCCCGTGCGCTCGCGTTGCCTACCTGCCAGGCGCTCTGCTCAGCGCCTCTGCGGTAGGCAGTCCCGTTAGGCAGCCGTGCGCTCGCGTTGCCTACCTGCCAGGCGCTCTGCTCAGCGCCTCTGCGGTAGGCAGTCCCGTTAGGCAGCCGTGCGCTCGCGTTGCCTACCTGCCAGGCGCTCTGCTCAGCGCCTCTGCGGTAGGCAGTCCCGTTAGGCAGCCGTGCGCTCGCGTTGCCTACCTCCCAGGCGCTCGGCGCAGCGCACCCCGGTCCCAGCCCGCCGGCCCGACCCGGCCCCACCTCTCGGCCATTTATCGAGTGTCAGGCTCATGCGGCCTGCGGGACGCGGCAGGACGCGGCGGTGCGGGGCGGGGTGTGCGCCCTGCGGCCTGGGGCGCGCCCGCCCCCGCCCCGCCACGCTGATAGAGGGCACCCCGTCAAACGAAAACTGTCGTTTGTAGTGGCCTCTGCCCCGCGCGCCCCGCTCGGGCGCCAGGGGGCTCGGCCGGGCCCCTACTGCCCAGGACACCCTCAAGATAAAGTTTGAGAGGGGGTGGGGGTGGCATAGGGTCCGGGCGAGGGCGCGCCGCTGCGCAGACCCAGCTGGGACAGGGTACCAAAGTATCTCATTCGGTTGGCAATTGGGATGATATGACGAGGAAAACCGGGGGCTCCTTCCCCAGCATCCTTTTTACTATCATTTCATTATATCACTCCTCGGGTCAAGGTCGCTAGGTGGTACAACTTTTCGCCACACCCTTTTTTCGCGTTTCTCTTTTCGCTGTCGCTTTGACCCTAGTTGTAGTTTAGAGGCCGCCGCGGCCCCGGCGTAGTGTCCGGCGACCGTAATGGGGCAAGTACGGCCCTTGGACGGGTGTATTAGGCCGGCCAGAGGGGGTGGGTTATATACATGAGGGAGTACTTGCGGAGGGTGGGGCGCGGCGGGGTGTGGCGGGGCGGGGCAAGTCCCGAGGCGTTCCAGCAGGGAGCGCGCGGGGCGGTGGGTACGCCAGGGAGTGCGGTGCGGCGGGTGGCACTGCGCCACCACGCCCCGCCACGCCCCACCACGCTCCGCCACGCCCGGCGCTCGCTCCGCCTCTGCCTGACACTCGATAAATGAGCCGCATGGCTGGCGGCTATGACGTGGACAAAGCTCTCCATATTGTAGGTGGCGGAGGGAGGAGGCGGGAGGG